ATATAAAATATACCAAATTGAAGCTGGGAGTGACAAGATTACGATTTTACCTGAATCGAGGCCAAAATGTGGTCAAATGTGGCCGGAAAATGGCCTGGAAGTCTCGGCCTGTTTGGGCTTCTTCAAATCCATGACAGATTCGAGCATTCAAAGCTAAGATCTCGGTCCAGGGATGTGATGAATTTTTTGGCGGTGCTAACTTCATCCAATTTAACGAGGGTTGGCCGGAAAACACATCGGGAAACCTGCAACTCGTCGGGAAAATTGGAGCCGTGAGGTTCCGTTCGAACAACGCATAACTAGAGAGGGAGGGAGGACAGAGAAATAGAGACTAGAATCAATAAGGAGTTTGACCAGGAATGAGAAAGAGACATGAATTGAGAGGTCTAAGAGGAAAAAAAGAGGGAGAGGGTGGGACAATGAGAGAGGAGGAAAAGAGTGGGACGGAAATGGTAGGAAAAGATGGAGAAAAAGATAAGATCATAATAAAATATTAATAATTTATATATTAAATAATATAATATTAGAATTTGTTATTATTCAGCTTCTTAGTCCAATACTGCACCAAACGCTTCACTAAGTTAGTCCAATTTAGTCTGGTCTAAGCCAGTCCAGCTTAGTCCTTGAAGCTATTCCAGTCCGAGATAGTCTGGCACAACAAACGCCCCCTTATGATTTAATTGCTAGATTAAATTCAATGGTAAGGATTTAATCTCACATACGTAAGATTATATCTTATTGCTATTATTGTAGTTAAGATTTTAATAGTTTTTTAATTAATGTAAAAGTACAAAAACATATACAAACGCTCGTAATATCAAACTCGACAACTTTTGTGAAGAGGTCAATTCTGAAATTTGTCACTATAATCTCATAAACTATAGATTAAAATTTAACCGTTGTTGAAGTGCAAAAAATGTAAATATATATATACATATATTGCTCGTAATATCAAGCTCGACCCTATAAAAGTACGATGAATGAATTCGATCTTCAATTTAAAATATTAGCACAAGTGGATACCACAAAATATTATGTTCTACTTAATGGAAGTGTAAAATAAACTCCAAATGTTTGTTGAATCTATCGTTTTGAAAGAATACACATTCTACAAAATTAGTTTCAACGATCTAACCATCAAACTCGTTTGTATATGCTCCAAGATCGCATACATAAAAAATCGCAAAAAACAAACATTCGAATATTAGGTAACGAGACGAAACATTTCAACGGTTATAAAAAAAAACTCATGATTTAACGGTTATTTTAATTCCAACTTTGATGATTTTTTACAAATACACTCCTCAACCTATAAGAGTAATATAAACGAATTTAATCTTCAATTTAAGATATTTGATATTTGCACTAGTGGATACCACAAATTATTATGTTCTACTTAATGGAAGTATAAAATAAATTTCAAGTGTTTGTTAAATCTACCGTTTTGAAGAGATACACATTCTACAAAACTAGTTTCAACCATCCAACCATCAAACTTGTTTGTATATGCTCCAAGATTGCATAAGTAAAAAATCGCAAAAAACAGATATTTAGATATTAGGTAATGGGACAAAACCTTTTGACGGTTATAAACGAAAACTCACAATTTAGATGTGGTTGTATTTTGCTCAATGTCCAGGATAATTGTTATGAGTTAACAAAGGCATGCAAATTATCTCCTTATCATAGAATACTATGTTAAATTATACACCTTTTTGCTCAACAATTTTATTTTAATTTTATGGTCCAATCTAGAGGTAGGCAAAAGGTTCCTGGATTCGCGAGGCAGGCCGGTTCTTTGCAGTTTAGGGCCAGTACGGGGCGGGTCCAAAGATTATAAATACAAAATGGGGTGGGCCGGGCTGGTTCCTTATAAATAACAAGGCTGACCGGTTCTAAAAATTCGAAAAAAGGGGTCCTCGGCCCAGACCGTTCATTGCATATATGATTTATCCTCTATTATTACCCATTTACCCTATCTCTCTTATTCTCACTCTCAGTCTCAATTCACACTCAACTCTCCCCTCACCCTCTCTCTCTATCCCGACTCCGAGTCACCACTCAACTCTTCCCTAACCCTATCTCTCTTATTCTCATTCTCGAACCTCAATCTTGATGACTTGATCTCAGACCTCAATCTCAATCTCCGATTCTCAGTCTCATCCCTCTTGATCTCTCTCTCCCATAGTCTCTCTCTATCTTTTTTACGCCTCTGTCTCCGATAACGCACCTTTGCCGGTTTTCGCTCATTCTCGAACCGAAGATCGCTCGACGGGAGCTCGATCAAGAGGTTTCGAACATGGTGGAATGAACGGAAGATCTGGGATGACGAATTCTAAGAGCGGGTTTGGGTCGGGTTGGGTTTGGCTAAGATGAGATCTTGGAGTGATTTGAGGAAGGCGACGAGGAGATCGAGTTTGTGTGGAATGACGTGGTCGACGGTTAGGATGAGCACGTCTATGTGGGGGATAGCAAGTTTGGGACTGTTTGCCCACCCGGACTCCGAGAGGTGATCAAAAAACCAAAAAAAAAAAAAAGTTAAGAGAACATGTGGACCCGTCTCGAATCGGCCCGTTTGAAACGGGCCATGTTAGGTTTGGTTTCAATTTTTAGATTTGTAATGCCCGACCTGGCTCGTTTCCTTTTTAAGCGATCCGGTCCGGTCCCTTCAAATTTGGGCTCGGCCCGTGCCCACCCCTAGTCCAATCTTCTCCATATGTATTCTAAGTTATATAATCTATTTATTGTAGAATTTAAATTAAGCATCAAACTTATTTCAAGAGTATTCCAACGACACATGTGACCATTGGTAAATAATTAATTCCAACAAAACCATATGCCTTAAAAATTTATTTTGACAAAGAAAAAATTTTGTCAAAAAAAATATGATTACTTCCGACAACAACTGATCACCCTCGAAAATATAAAAGTATTAATGAGAGGACTTTTTTTCCCCTAAAAAATATAAAAACATTTCCAAGAGGACTTTTTTTCCCTCGAAAATACTAAATCTGTTTCGTCAACATGAGTAAACCTTCGGAGATAACCATTCTATTTCCAATAAGAACTTTACTCGTCGTTAATACAACTGGCGCCAATTCTTCCCCCCAAACAAAAGTGCATTTCCGATGAAACTTGAGACTTTTTCCGAGGACATTATGTGCGTTGGTAAAAAAAATAAAAAATTCATGCCATGTTACCGATGACCCGTATTTTATGGTCGCAAAATGTGCTTTTTATGACCCTTTTTTGGGGCCCTAGGAAAATCTTCATCAGTAATGACTACTTTTTTTTTTGTAGTGTTGATACATTTAGATGACTAAACAATCTTCGATTCGAATAATTTTTTTTTTGATGAGAGATCTTCAAATGAAGATTAACAAGGTAAACAATTTTGATTATAAATTTACATGATGAATATTTATTCGTAAAAGGTGACATAGTGCCATTGGAAACGCAAGTATTATATATTGTATTGATCCCATGGAAGCCCTTGTAATCATAAATCTCCTGACACATCATTGTTTAGATAAAATGCAACAATGATCGATTTAAGTGTCAAAAGGTTCAAACATGTTCTCGCAGTTCATTATTCATATTGTTTCCAATTTTTTAGGTGTGAAGTCTTATTCAAGTCTCAATGCAATTAGTAACGATCCCATTCGATCAGTATAATGGAATTGAACTTCAAGATGTTTCTGTTGTAGGACATATGCTTCAATATCTTAAGTAGCCAGTATGTGATGATATCCGCCCCATCTAAATATAGCATCCAGGTCTGTTTTGCAAGAGGCTAGGTCTTGTGTGTTGCGTTTTGTCGATCCCACTTCTTTGTTGGTTTGCATGGTGTTATGTGAGCCTCCACCTTATTACCTGCAGGTGATGAAGACATTTGTCGATCACATGTAATAGTGTAAGGTAACCTCTCAATCTAATCTGTCACAGATGATAGAGTCCTTCCATCCATAAAACTAATTACAAGACTTTCAGAATAAAGATTAACATTTAACAGGATTAATTAGGACAGGGATTAGATTACTTGGACGTGAAATCATGCACCGTAACCTAAATCAGAGAAGAAACTCAAGAAAGCTTATAAGACAGCCTGTGACGACTGTTCCGATCGAAGGGTAGGTTCTTACACACATGTCGTTTAATTTATACGAATGGATGGATACGCAGTGCCAAAACCAATTGACAAGCAAAGGCCGCCCCACTTAAGGCGTACAGATCGATGTACGAAATAAGATCAAATAAGATCAATTAGAAAAAATAAATAAAATAAAGCACAAAAGAAAGAAAAAAGAGAAAGGTGGTCCAAATATAGTATGTATTCACGGAGAAGCTTTATACCTTCCTTGAAACTTCATAAAGCCCATATCTGAATATGAAAGTTGTCAATTATAAAGAGGTGAAGATCAATTCTTTTCATATACATTTGCGTTCGAATATGGCAAAGTTATTCTTAATTTGGATATGACCATTTTTAATTACTTGTAGTCGATCAATGACCATTTTTAGCGACTACTGTCTACTTTAATCGTTGGAGAAATTTTGAACTTTAAATTATTGGACAACAATTGTTTGATCAGACGTGTTAAATAAAAAATATACGAATTAGACTCAACCATTTACATTTAAGTTGAATTTTGCGACCAACTAAAATTGCTTAATTTGGCAATAAGTGTATAAAAGGCAGATTTTACATAATTTTGAAGGAAAACTAATGAAAAATGTTTGAAAACTTTGAGTTTTAACGATAAGGACAAAATAAAGGGTAAAGTGAATAGTACCATGATTGACTTTTTAGTGTAAAAATGTGATTTTTCGTTAAAATGAACATTACCGGAAAATTTTTGTTAAAATTCCCTAATTTTTATACCTTCCACCTATACACGAAGTCATACCAATCCAACCGACATGCATAGAACCTTTTTATGTTTTAAATTCCACCCTAGATCTATTTTAGCTTGTATCCAGTTTACGTTAGTCCGTTTTGATTGAGAGTACTGCATGCTTTGCGTAGAGTAATTACTGGAAATTATTTTAGAGCATGCACTCTTACTATAGACACGAAAAATAATATACGCATGCATGGTGGATTATTAATAGCAGGTCAGGCTTCTTATGTATATAAGATCTCAATCTCGTTGGCGATGCAGAGATATTGATCATCATTGTTTTTTCTTCTGAAGATCATATCAGACAACACTTCGGCGGTGTTCTGAATATATATTCTGCAAAATCTGGTACGTACTAATTTACTTAATCGGCTTTAATTAATTAATTTTCAGCGTTTATTCGTTCATATCTGGAAGAAAAATATATGTATCAGATTCGGACAAAAAAGAAAAATTTAGAATAATATAATATGTACTGATATTAAGCAATATACAAATTAAAATCTAGGGAAAAATGGGAGGGGGGGAGAGTTATTGCCTTAAGTCATCATCTTGCTTTGTTTCTTCCTGTTTATTTATTTTTTCGTACATAATTAAAATGCCACTTTCTTGTCTGGGCTCCAAAATATTTTGACCAAACTTTTCCAGCTCTTGAAATTTTATCTCCTCACTGTTGAAGTTTTATACCTTAATTTAACTTACCCTAAAAAATGTTTTTATAATAATTTCTACTCCATCCTTACATGAATTTGGATTTATATGCCGACCCATATTTTTGATGGATTAATTGGCCGACAAGTGAAGCTGGAGTTATTTTTTTATTTAACGGACATTTCATGGAAAACTGGCATATCATCGTTGCATGCGAGATACAGGAGACAAATAATAACAAAGGTTGTCGTAACTTTGGCCATTTTGTTCCTATTTGATAAAAACGTTGACCAACCTTGACCTTGTTGCAGTCGTTGCTTACTGGACGACGCCACTCCTCCTCCTCCTCATCCTCCTCCTCTTCTTCTTCTTCTTCTTCTTCTTCTTCTTCTTCTTCTTCGTACTGCGGTAAACTGTCGTGGTTTTAACTTTTAAGACGGCAACGTGAAATACAGCCTTTTAAAAACACAGCAACGTGAAATATTATCAGAGAGCATAAACAAACAAAATATCGTACAAACATCGCCAATTCTCTATGTAAAATACAGCCTTTTCTAAAACAAAGAAAACTAAACATTTTACACTAACGATGTGAACCTCGTTAACGAGAAACTTATCGAAGAAAACCACGTAAAACAAACTAAGATTTGACAAATTGATACGGGAGCGAGCTTAACAGGGAGGAGGGAAGTAGAATGCAAAGCAATTTTTGGAGAAATTGTGAGAATGTTTATGAACTTTGCTATATACATTTTACTTTAAAATCCATCAAAATCCACAACTTAACAAAATCCTACACACTTTGATTTGCACACACTTGTTTAATGTCTTTTAAAACCTATATTTTTTTTTTTGTCAAACGATAGATTTGTTAGAATAGAGAGTTGATGGAGTCAGAACGCATACCATGGTGCAACACTGCGTCTACCACTGTGATAGAAGGCCATTTGCTTCTTCTAAAATTTTTATTGACAACCTATAAACTTAGGTCGACGCTAGAAATATCTTATAACATTCCATCAATATTTCGAAATTTAAAATTTTTTTAAAATTCTAATTGAATTACAACTCTAAATAATTCAAGAAGTGTCTTAATTCTAGTCACTACATTATTTTATTTTCGACCAAAGTAGTTGTGTATCCAAGGATAATGTTTTCTCCTTTATTTATCTTTCTCTCTTATCTCTCTATTCAACTCTCTCAGACTTTGTCTTGCCCATACTCCTTAGTCCATCATACAACAAATTCTAGTGCCAAACTTCCACAAGTCACGCCCATATGTTGCCTACCTGTTTTCCCAATCAACGCCTTACACTCGAAACTTTGGACAGTGCTCTAACTTTCCACCCGTCAACAATCTAATCTGTAGTACCACCACACCGCATCGATCGACATCAAATATATATAAAGTGTGACCAAATTATGAATGGTGATGCTTCAGCAGTGTCTTCATGGCCGACTCAACAAACTTTCCATAATTGCCCTATTTTCTATACCTTTGTTCGCACTTCATTATTTTCTCGCCTAGCTAATTCAGTACATTTTAAAGCTAATTTCCAAACTAGGTAAGGTCGGCCAATAATATGGTAAGATGATAACCTTTATCATCGAGATAAACAACCCAAATCACCAGCTAAGCTCACTAAATGACCACTCAGTGATCAAGGAGGTGGAGTGCGGAGATAGCCAGAAAATTTGCTTCGAAGCAACAATCCTTAAATGAGTGTAACAAAATTGATCGAGTGCTCTTCCGTAAAAGATAAACTAGCGATGCTGAGCAACAGTATAATTATCTCAAACATTTTCTATCTCTTGATTATTAAATTTCTTTTTTAAAAGTAGTAGATTTTTTAGGCAAAACTTTGTCATCACCGTTTGATTCTTTCCTTGCTTCAAACAAAAACATCAAATCAAATTCCCACTACAAGATTTAGATTCAACGATCACATGATTCGATTCGGAACAATAAAAGGCACCCACGTTCATATCCAGCATTAAACCACTATGCAAATGACACCCCAACGTGCCTAGTGTGACCTGCCGACCCCCCCCCCCCCCCCCCCCCCCACCCCAAAAAAAAGGGGTTTGGATCTCATCCGAAGAGAGATTTTTTAATATAACTAGCATATAAGTTGGTACATTATGTGTTACTATACAAATAGTGGAATATGTGTTAAAAAATTTATAACTTAAAAAATAAAATTTTCAACCATTTACATAAAAATACGTAGTATACCATTCGTGCTCCTGTTACAATAAAAAATTTCTTATCATCTAAATCCTCCTTGTGAGGATTTTAAGAATCTTTAAATCCTACCCTTTCATTTTATCAAAAAATATTTTAAATTATTCATTTAAAATTAAATACAATTACTGCCTAACTAAAATTGACCATATACCATCCTAGAGATGAATAGGATGTGAGAGGTCCTCATCCCCCACCCACCGCCACCACGCGGAAACGTACGTCATTCACTAATTACGCGTTCCTTCCTCAACGCCGCAAAACACTCTCTCTCCTCCCCTCGGTCGGTGACTTGCCGCGTTGGGCCATAAGAATGCACCTATAGTAATTAACACTGTAAATACAATTTACTGTACGAACCAATTTCCACTTCTAACCTTTTCTCCCATTATACCCTCCAATGGTCAAAGCGGATTTTTGACATGAATATTAAAGTTCTCACGTGTCTCGTCGCTTATCTATCTATTTGTTCGTAGAGAGATTATATTTATACACCTCAAATTACTTTTTTCATATTTTTTTAATTTTTTAATATTTTCTACACACCATGATAGAAAATATTAAAAAAATAAAACGATGTGGGAGAAGTAATTTGAGACATATGAATATAATCTCCCTTGTTGGTAAACTCTCATGGATCAAAATGGGTATTTAACAGGAAGATAATTGACTTGGATACTCGTCTTTTATGTATCAACTGTCTTTATTTTCAACTAAAAACTCTGTTCTTTGTTTGAAGTTAAACTCATTTAATGGTTTGATTGGCGCAGGTAAGACTCATATTGCTTCTCTTTTACCACCAATTACAAGGTATACTAGTTTTTTTTTTATTTTTTTTATTTTTAATCTCAACTCTTGTTATGAATATAAAATTTAATCACGCGATATTCTAAATTATTCATACATCTTATACGTGTTATGCCAAGTCTAATTATTGTTGAAGCAATTGTTTTTGTTTGAATTTTTAAATTGGTTTTATTTTGATTCCAATTTTTTGGATTTTTGTGGGAAGGAATAAGATGAACTAGAAACTCAAGGCAAATCTTCAAAAATTAGAATATCAACACATATATTGATTAAAAAAAAGGGAATATCAACACATATATTCGATCTAGAGATAATTGAGGCAATGATTTATCAATTTTAACTTAATCACAGTTTTAGTCTTAGAACTAAAAATTCATGAATATTAGTCTATGAATTTGTAATGATGTAAAATAATGATCATTTTGGTTAACTCTTTTAGAACTTCCATCCATCTTTTGCCCCTTTAAACCTTTTATTCTAGAGAAAGTTATAACGGAGTTAGTCAAAGGATCATTGCTCTACATTATAACAAATTTAGGATCAATACTCATAAGTTTTTAATTTAGCCAAAGCTCTGATTTGGCTAAGGTTTAGGGATATTGCTGTAATTTTCTATACGAGAAGCGGACAATCTAGGAAGTTTACCGGGGGAATATTTTGAAAGTACCTTATTGGCCTTGTCCAAAGTATCCTTTCTATTCGTACAGTGCCTTGTTTCACTGGTCTTTTGAGAAGGTAGTAGGAAGTTTCCCGGTGGAGTCTCTCGACTGCAAAAGTGAACGCACTATCAAGCTACACATAGTAGTCAAACTTTTCCGGTTTTGGTTTTGGATCCCCAACATTTCTGCCAAGGTTTAGAGAAAGTGGAGAGCCGGAGCGTTTTCGAGAGCGAGAAAGTGCGGCGGAGCGGAGGGAGGTTCTGGGCCGGAAGTTGCACTAGTTTTTACTATGGGTTAGACAGTAGGAAAATCAGTGACGAGCGTTCGAGTTTGCGAAAATTTGAAGTGAAATTAGAGATTCGGGAGCTGAAATTTGGTTCGGAGGGTGAGAATTTGGGGGTGTGAGAAGGTTTTCGAGTGGTTGGGTGCAACTAACAGCGCCATCTCTCCTGCGACAGGTTTTTAACGATGAATCAATCAAGAGGCTCACGTTCGGATTTGGAGGCCGGCGGCAGCCGCTCCGGTGACTTGGACGGCGAGTCCTCGTCCAGTCCTTTTTACATTGCCAGAACTAAGGATGCTTCGGTCGATCGCCTCAAGCGCTGGAGGGTATGCTTTCCAATTTATATCACATTTTGCAGTTTTACAGTTAATTTGTATATATTTTATTTATTTATTTGCTACTTGTTCTTCATCTCTGTATATGTTGTTTTGGAGGTGTATTTTTGGTTCATATGTTCTAGGGTGAAGTGCCGATTTAGTCATTGAATTATTTTTCGGTATAAAATTTCGTAAATTCATTAAAAATTGTCATTTTCTTGCTTATAAGCCCTTAACATTTCATATAGGTTGCTAATCTAACGTCTAATTTACCTGCCAAAGTTAACTCCATACATAAAAGAAACATGACTTAAATTGACGGAAAATTGAATATAGTAGTTTCGAATCTAATATTAGGGATGTAATTGGCAGATTTTTATAATTCAAGGACTCATTTTCTGAAAAAAATAGTTTAGGGACCTAATTTTCACTTGGGTGATAATTCAGGTACTAAATTGGTAGTTCACCCTATAACTGTTGTGTATGTATCTTCCTCTGCGGTTTAGGTTTTGGATTCTAATGTCGATTTTCGGTACTAATGGTAAATTTCTATTAATAGTGTAGTTGCCCCCTCTATGTGGAAAAGATTAGTCTCGTTTTTGAGGGAGAGGGGAAAAGGACTTTTCGAACAGTTTTAGGTTTAGTATGGCTAGAATTATAAATTTAACCTATAAAGTAGTGGATATACAGTTGAAATAAAATCGGAAGGTTCTACGAGTATCTTTTGTATGGGAGTGTTACCAAATGAAATTATGATTTTTGAGGTTCTCTTTGTATATTTGTTTATGTATTTAACCGTGGGGGGTTGTGATGAGTGACTTTTGACTTCCTCACATATGATTGATGGGAGTTATATACGTGGTTGTTCATGTTTCAATCTTCTCAATTTAATATTGCCAAAGGAAATTGCTATATTGGATATGATAATAAAACACAAAATGCCTATCTTTCAAGGGAATTTATACCCTAGATGCCACCAGGTCAGGCTTGGTGAGAGTCCATGAAATACCTGGTTTCCATGTACTTTTAAACTAAAAATTGGAAATTTCGTTTGGGTGCTTAGTTTACATTTTTAGCGGAAGTCATTTGTTTTATTTGATTTGATCTGATCTTTTTATCGAGGCTTTTTTCTAAACTATTTTTTTTTTTGTTTTGTTGTAGCAAGCAGCACTTGTGCTGAATGCTTCTCGTCGATTCCGGTACACCTTAGACTTGAAAAAGGAAGAAGAAAAGCAGCATACACTAAGGAAGATTAGAGCACATGCACAAGCCATACGAGTAATTCACTTCAAAATAAACGTGTCATATGTCACTCATGTCCTAGTATCTTAACATATGATTTTTTGTTTATTTTTAAAATAGGCTGCATATCTTTTCAAGGAAGCTGCAGATCAACAAGTGAATGGTACTTTTTTTATTATTTTAATTTCCATTAATTCTTTGCAAATATTACCTGTGGGAAAAAACATGCAGCATTAATTTGATATTGCCCCATGCTTCAATTATTTAGATCCAACAGTGGTATGATACTAGTAGAAGAGTATTTATTTCAAAATAAACTGCTGTTGTTCTCGAGCATGCCATTGTTCAGTTCTGAGCAAGTGTGTGTAGTCTTGCCTCACTCTTCTTGTAGAATACCTGGTAACAAGCAGATGTTTGATTTCCTATATTGTGCAATGTTCCAATTGTAAATGTTCATTTTTCTTTCCTAAGACGGTATGGCAATTTGTTTGTCATGCTCTGTTCATTTCCGGTTCATTGTCATTTAAATTGTTGTTGGATTTGTGAGGTTGCTTTCTTGTTTCATTTTTTAAGGATTGTGTTTTAGACATTTCTCTCATTCGCTCCACCATCATGATGCATAAATCCTGTTGGGTAAACTGTTCTTTGCAATAGTTCTATAGTCAACTTGTTGCTTCTTATTGTCAGGGATTGTAGTACCGAAACCAAATCCTACTGGCGATTTTCCCATTGGACAAGAGGAACTAGTTCCAGTGACGAGGGATCATAATTTTGCTGCTCTTCAACAATATGGGGGGGCAAGTCCACCACATAACCTCTTTCATGATCTGAAGTTGGTACATAAACACTGTTGCTTATATTTGTTCTGTTGTTTTCTTAAATCAGGTCACAGGCTTAGGGGACTTATTGAAAACAAATCTTGACAAGGGAATTCATGAAGATGATGCTGATTTACTAAAACGGAAAAATGCATTTGGGTCGAACACATATCCTCGGAAAAAAGCAAGAAGTTTCTGGGTAAATTTGCTACAGTTGTGAACTTTTGAAGTTTCTACATTGGATATAATAAGAAAAAAAAGGAAATTTTTTTCTTTTATAATATATTTCTTTTTTCTTTTTCTGTCTGATAGAGATTTCTTTGGGAAGCTTGGCAAGATCTTACTCTGATCATTTTGATGGTAGCTGCAGTGGCTTCTTTAGCGCTGGGTATAAAAACAGAGGTGAGCTGGCATTGGCTTCTTAATAGCTGCGTCCTTCATCACAGTAGGATGTGAAACTTTTAGGGTGGTCTTATGAATATCTGCTAGTTGTGGTGATCTTTTGTATTCTGATAATGTCCTGTTTGTTTTGAAGTCTGAGTTATTGTTGTAGCATGATTTGTCTTTTCTTAAATACTACACTCTTGATTTGTCCCTTGATTTGTCTTTCTTAAATACTACACCCTAGTTGATTGCATATATTGTGAAGGCCATGATGTTCCAACTTTAGAGAAATGATCTCTATCATTAATCAATGTTTTAAAAAACTAGTTTGAGACCAGCCTAGGCAGTTTTTTGGGTGGTGCTATCAAGAAAATGCCTCTGCCCAGCAGGAGTGGGTTATATTTCCGTCTAGGCGTTGGGGAGGCATGATGTGGGCGTTCAATTTTTTATTTCTATTTTTTTTTTTTTTTTTACAAAAGCCAAACCCAAAATGATGTTGTTTTGGGCAGCGTTTTAAAAAAAAACTGAAATAGCGTCTCTCTCACTTCGCGTTTGCGTAAAAGAACATAGAGCGAGAGCAGCAGGCCAGCGACATCATGCAAATCTCATGCAGCCAAACGTGGAATTCCATGGCTAGTTGTATCCGAAAGTAGCAAAAGAGGTATTAGGAGAGTCCAAGGGTTTTGCTCCACACCAAAAGGAATCTTGGTGGTGGAAGAAGGAGGTACAGACAAAAGTTAAGGCTAAGAAGAAATGTTGTAAAGCCTTATACAAGGATAGAACCGACGAAAACTGTGAAAGTTATAGAATAGCGAAGGAGGTGAAGAAAGCTGTGAGAAGCAAAGCTAGTGGCTTTTGGCAATATGTATAAGCGACTAGATACCAAAGAAGGAGAGTTGGATATCTATAAACTAGCAAGAGCAAGGGAAAAGAAGACGAGACTTGAACCAAGTGAGGTGCATCAAGGATGAGAATGGAAAGGTTCTTGCTACAAAGATCATGATCAAAGACAGATGGAGAGGTTATTTTCGTAATCTTTTTAATGAAGGATATGAAAGAAGTTATTCTTTGGGGGAGTTGACTAACTTAGAAGAGTGTAGAAACTACTCATTCTACCACTGAATTAGGAAGGACAAAGTGGTTGTAGTTTTGAAAAAGATGAAGCATAGAAAAGCATTGGGCCCAAATGATATACCGATCGAAGTGTGGAAAGTCTTGGGAGAGATGGGTATATCATGGCTCACAAACATTTTCAATAAGATTTTGAAAACGAAGAAGACGCCAAATGAGTAGTGAAAGAGCACTTTGGTGCTTATCTACAAGAATAAGGGCGACGGACAAAAGTGCATGAATTATAAGGGTATTAAGTTAATAAGGCATACCATGAAGCTATGGGAGAGAGTAATTAAGCATAGATTAAGGTAAGAGACTCGGGTCTCGGATAATCAATTCGGGTTCATGCCAGGGCGCTCAACCATGAAGGCAATCTATCTCTTATGAAGATAGATGGAAAGATATAGAGATATTAAAAAGGATTTGCACATGGTCTTTGTAGATTTGGAAAATGCGTATGATAGGGTCCAAGACATTCTTTGGAGGGTTTTAGAGAAGAAAGGGGTAGAAGTAGTATATATCCAAGCTATAAGGGAAATGTATGATGGGGCAAGGAATGCCGTAAGAACTTATGAAGGACAAACCGAAAACTTTCCCATAATTGTAGGGTTACATCAAGGCTTGTCTTTAAATCCTTACCTTTTTGCATTGGTAATGGATGAGTTAACATGACATATTCAAGATGATATACCTTGGTGTATGTTTTTTGTAGATGATATAGTGTTGATAGATGAAACTCAGGAAGGAGTAAATGCGAAGCTTAACCTTTGGAGAGAAGTGTTGGAATCTAAAGATCTTCGCCTAAGTCGGGCAAAGAAAGAGTATATGGAGCGCAAGTTCAGTGCGAACGAAGGTTCAAATGAGTTAAGGGTGAGGATTGGAGATCAGGAAGTACCAAATAGCGATTGCTTTCGCTACCTAGGATCGATCTTGCAAAAGAACCGAGAGTTGGATGGAGACCTCAACCATAGAATACAAGCTGGATGGATGAAGTAGAAGCTACGATGCACAGACACGGCACATCGCCCGCGTATCGCGTGTCGGATACACAAATGAACACGATACGCCTCTGATACGATCGGATACGCGTTGGATACGTATCTGGATCAATAGATACGACATTTGACAGATGGATACGGGTATCCGACTGTTTAGATACGGGTATCCGACTGTCTAGATACAGATATCTGCACCATGGCCTTTGACACAATTTCGTGGAAGAAAACCTCATGAAGGAGATGACGCAATCTGGTGGAAGGACACCTCGTGAAGAAGATGACGCAATTTGACGGAGGAAGGCGTCGCACGAAGACGACCCGATCTGGTGGAGGAGGCTTCACGAAGAAGATGACTGCTAGGTCGACATTTCTTTTATTTTTATTTCTTTAAAGGGTTTAAATGAGACTAAAGCCCAAAACTACATAGCCCACTGAATTTACACCACTACCATCCTTTATTTTTTGAGAGTTTGAAACACTATAAATTAAATTTTGAGTAATTAATTTTTTCATTGTTATTTAAAATATATGTTTTAAATATATATTTATTATATAAATTGCCGTATCCATGCCGTATCGTGTCTTAGTTTTTAGAAATTTGACGTATCTCCGTGTCGTATCCTCGTGTCCGTGTCCGTGTCCGTGTCCATGCATCGTAGAGTAGAAGAGTGCATCGGGTGTGTTATCCGACCGTTGTATGCCACTAAAGCTTAGGAAAATTTTTATAGGACGGCAATAAGGCCAGGCACGAAATGTTGGGCGGTGAAGCAACAACATGTACACAGCGGGGATGAGAATGCTTCATTGGATGTGAGGGCACACGAGAAAGGATATGATTAGGAATGAGGATATCTGAGGTAAACTAGGAGTAGCTGAAATGGAAGGAAACATGAGAGAAAATTGGTTAAAGTGGTTTGGACATGTGAAACGAAGGTCTACATATGCTTCGATTTGAAGATGTGATTAAGAGACAGAGGCTTAAGGTCGAAAAAGTAGAGGAAGACCTAGGAAGACTTGGAAAGAGACTTTAAGAAAAGACTTGGAGTACTTGGATCTAATGGAAGACGTGGCACAATGACATTCTAGGATTCATACAGTCGACCTTACTAAGTGGGATAAGACTTTGTTATTGTTTGTGATGATCTTGACTATTATTTGAATTATATGCTTGTTTTTGGCTTAGTTGTTTAAATGACAATGGATATTTCTTTTACAAAGTATTATATTTTATGTATATATATTAAGTATTATAATAATTTTTGGTACTGTGAAACTTTTGCCTCACGCCTTGAGAATATCGCCTCACGCCTTGAGATTATTGCTTAGGCGAGGCTATCCAAGAAACGCCTTGGCCTTGCCCTCGCCTTTTAAAACATTGATCATCACAAATATAGTGCTTACATGGTTGCAAATCTGTCACTTTTTGTGGGAGTGTTGATGATTTCGTAATCATATTTGGAGAAAAGTGATATCACAAATCCCTGTAAATCCCATTTTATTTATTCATCTTAAACCCGAAATTTCTTTACGGTGTTCATCTTATGCGTTCTTTGTTGCTTACAGGGTATAGAGGAGGGATGGTATGATGGGGGCAGCATTGCTTTTGCAGTTCTCCTTGTCATTGTTGTCACAGGTATTGATTGAGCAAGTGTATACGCTGATGGCTAAAATGTATATATTTCAGTGTCATTTTTGTTTCCGACATTTTAGTTAATTTGCTTGTAGGGGCTGTTGTGTTGCATGCAATGTTTTAAAAGGCTCGCCTCAGGGTGCGCCTAGGCGTCCTCTGGGGCTGGGCGTGAGGGTTGCTGCCTCTATTTTGAGGGAGTGGGCGGAAGGCGTCGCCGGGGCCGCCTAGGCGAGCCTCATGGGTTTTTTTTTTCATTTTTTTATTTTTTTTATTTTATTACTCCGAAACCCAAATTGGTAGGGTTTTAATTGCCCCATACCTCTTCCTTGCACTTTCGTCTTTCTGCCTTTTTTTTTTTTTTTTTTTCCTGATTTTTTTTTTTTTTTTATATAATGGATGTGTGTGCTGTCTGCGTGCATTGTTATGTGTGTCGTCTGCGTTGTTATATGTGTGTCGTCTGCGTGCATTGTTATATGTGTGCTCATTGTGCTTTTGATCCTATATTATATATATATAATATAATATATGTGTGTATATATATTTATAATATATGTGTGTGCTCAGGGTGATTGTTGATTAATAATCTTTTTTTTTTTATAAATATAATATGTGTATGCTCAGTGTATATATTAAAAAATTTGGGTCCCGTGAGGCTTTGCCTCATGCCTCATGCTTTTAATACATTGGTTGCATGTACTAGTCAACTTGCTTTAAATAATAAACACACACACACACACATATATATATATATATATTATAGAGTTTTAACAGTTTTCTTTCTTTCCATCTCCATATTCAAATAAAATTCTGTGAATAAGCTCTGCAAGTTTTGTAATTATTTCCCAAGAACTAAATTGAGTGAAAACTGTTCATGGTGGCCAGAATACATCAATTCCCCGATTATCTGTGTGTGTGCTTTTTCTTTTTTTGGGACAAACATTTTTACATTCCTTTTGAGCCATTAGATTACATAACATCCAAGGGTCCTTATTTAATGACACGTATATCTCTGTGTGTGTGTATCATTATTGGAGGGGGTACTATTTATGTCACTCATCACCATATATGTGATTTACAAATTGGATGATGTTTAATCATCTTTGCTCTTTTTTGGGGTGTTTAGCCATGAGCGTTTACAAGTTTATTACTTGAATTCTAAATAAATGTGAGTTTCTATTAATCTGAAGTGGTACACACTCACAAGCTTTTCCCTTGCAGCCGTTAGTGATTACAGACAGTCTCTTCAGTTCCAGAATCTAAATGAGGAAAAGAGAAATATACATTTGGAGGTGCGCTTCTGGTTCTCATCTCTGTCAGATTTATGGGAATTTTATTTCTTCTCATGTGCCGATATTTAGCTTTGGAGGTATTGTGCAGGTCATTAGAGGTGGTAGACGTGTTGAGGTCTCAATTTATGATCTTGTTGTTGGTGATGTTGTACCCCTTAACATCGGCGATCAGGTATGCACATTTGTCAGAAAATGTTTCATATATATTTCACAATTACATTCCAATTGAAAATTTTATTGATATTGTGATTCTATATGTAGGTCCCTGCTGATGGCATTTTAATAACTGGACACTCACTTGCGATAGATGAGTCTAGTATGACTGGAGAGAGCAAGATTGTGAGCCTCAATACATGTTCCTATCCTTGTTTGAACATTGACCATTTATTTTCGGTAAAACATATGATGTATGTATTTTCCTTTTTTCAGGTACGCAAGGACTCCAAAAATCCATTTCTAATGTCGGGCTGCAAAGTAGCAGATGGAAATGGTAGCATGCTGGTAAAGATTCCAATCTCTCTTTTCCTTTTCCCTTGACTCATAGATTTATAAGAGTTTTTCTACAGTCAGTCAATGACAAATCTGAAATTCTTTCTGATTACTGAAACTTTGTTTTCCATAGGCTTGTTTTTTTTTGCTGCCCATGTAATTTTGAAATATAATTTTCAATATTTTAATATTATTATCATTGTTTCTTCAGGTAACCAGTGTTGGGACTAATACTGAATGGGGAATGCTCATGGCTAGTATTTCAGAAGATACTGGTGAAGAAACTCCTTTGCAGGTCAGCAATGAACTATTAACATGAATATAGTCATTCGATGCATGAAATCCTGTACTCAAACATATACATCTCTGAACAGGTGCGCTTAAACGGGGTTGCAACTTTCATTGGTATTGTTGGACTCACAGTGGCTTTACTTGTCTTGATAGTCCTGTTGGTTAGGTATATTTTGATCTTCACTAATGACCCCTTCTCTATGACAGTGACACTTGATTTATGATAGAGTACTGTTACGTGTGCAGATACTTTACTGGCCATACAAAAAATGCAAATGGAAGCCCTCAGTTTAAAGCGGGAAAGACAAAATTTGGAGATGCCATAGATGGAGCCATTAAAATTGTTACTATTGCGGTATGTCAATAATTCCTTGGTTATTCACTCTCCTGCATACGAGTGTTTGTGTGAATTTGACTAATCTGAAAACTGTTCTAGGTCACCATTGTGGTGGTTGCTGTTCCTGAAGGGCTCCCATTAGCTGTTACCTTGACGTAAGTCTTCTATACCATGTGTTGTGTCTCTGGGCATTAGGGATGGCAACGGTTTGGTTTGGGGATGAAAATGATATATCCATCCCCATAATCACGAAAATTAACCATGGGGGATTATCCATAACCGCAAATTAACCATCAGGGATTATTCATAACCATATCCACCGGGTAACGGATTTTCAATCGGTTATCGGTAATATCCATCTTCGTAAAAAAAAAAAAAAAAAAAAAAAATATATATATATATATATTCATCCAATTGACACATTATAAATTTTAGTAGATGCTATTTCCATCATTAAATAGCAACATCCAATTACTAAAAACATAACAATATATTTGAAGTTGTTCATGATAAGCCAATATGATAAATTGGTCCAAACAAATTGTCTAATAATTCCAAAACTTGTGACGACAAAAGAACGATATATTTGCACTTCGCTTCTAGTTCCACCAAGCCAGCATCATATTTCATGGTGCTCCTCCTTCACACCCATCAATGGAGCATGATGACGAAATAATTAATATGAATCGTTGTACACACATAATCTACAAAGAAGATAGTTATATACATATAGGCCTCGTTTGGCAGCTCGGACTGTACTGACTATTTCTGTCGGATAGTATAAATAGCCACCGAATAGTACTGACTAAATTAGTCGGGCGTTTGGTGCAGTATCGGATTAATGACCGTATTATTTATACTGTGTTTGGTACTGAACCGGATAGGACAAAAGAAAAAAAAAATTTAACAAATCTTTCTTTGTTTGTTGAACTTTTCTCATATTTATACCTATTGAAAACCACATAAATTTTCAAATAACAAAAAAATAGTAAATTTCATACATCAAATTCAAAATATTTTCTAATAACATAAAAAAAGGTTCACAAAAAGCAACTACAATCGTTACGATATATAATCCACCCACATATCCAAGTTCATAAAATATACAAATGCAAGGTGGTTTCAGTAAGAAACAGTTTGTCCAGATAGCCAAAATATATGCATGCTACTTTTAACAAAATATATGCATGCTACAGCTTTTAACAAAATATATTGTTGTTGGTTTGAAATGTCAATTGGGGTTACTTTGTCCAAGTAACATGAGTACAAATGCTTTTTTCATTGCACCATCCAAAGACGAGAATGTCCTCTCATTCTGTGGCTTTTCGAAAAGGATATTTAGTGCCTTGATTTGATCCTCAATAGACAAATCCATCTTTGACAATTCTGAAACAATCTCAGGTTTTGGATCCACTCCTTTCCCAAAAGCAACTTGTAAAACTTCACCCAACTTATCAACTGATTCAGAAAGCATTTCTTTAAATGCCACAGCAAGATCATTATCATTAGTAGCTCTCTTCCTTTCTTTGATCCATGTCTAGTGATAATATAAAATAACATTATTAGATAGTGGCAAAAAATTAAGTAACTGGAGCATGAATGCATAATAACACTGAAAACGGAAGGAAGCATGTTCACACACACACACGCACAATCTGCACACACACACACGCTGCACACACACACACACACACAATCTGCACACACACACACGCTGCACACACACACACACACACACACACACACACACAATCTGCACACACACACACGCTGCACACACACACACACACACACACAATCTGCACACACACACAATCTGCACACACACACACACACACACACACAATCTGCACACACACACACCCACACACGCTGCACACACAGACACACAATCTGCACACACACACACGCTGCACACACACACACACACAATCTGCGCACATTGCAAGCACAGACACACATACACACACACACACACGCTGCCCTTGGTTTTCTCTTGCATTGCAAGCACACACACGCTGCACACACACACACAATCTGCGCACATTGCAAGCAGACACACACACACACACACACACTGCCCTTGGTTTTCTCTTGCATTGCAAGCGAGCACACACACACACACACACACACAATCTGCGCACATTGCAAGCACAGACACACACACACGCTGCCCTTGGTTTTCTCTTGCATTGCAAGCACACACACACACACACGCTGCACACACACATACACATAATCTGCGCACATTGCAAGCACAGACACACACACACACTGCGCGCACACACACACACTGCGCGCACACACACACACACACCCTGCACACACACACACACACCCTGCACACACACACACCCTGCACACACACACACACCCACACCCTGCACACACACACACCCACACCCTGCACACACACACACACGCAGACACACCCTGCACACACACGCACACACACACGCTGCACACACACACACACACCCTACACACACACGCAGACACACCCTGCACACACACGCTGCACACACACACACACACACTGCACACACTATCTGCGCACATCGCTGCACGCACACACACACCCTGCACACACACACGCTGCACACACTATCTGCGCACATTGCAAGCACAGACACACACACACACACAGTGAGTTAAAATTGTAAGTTCAACACCAACAACAAACCCTAAATTCGACCCCAATAGAAAACCCTAAAATTCAAAAATTCTAATTAAAACACAAAATTACATAATCAATTGCATAATTAGAGAGAAAATGATAACTAGATTCAATCAATTGAAAGAAAATTGCAAGAAAAATAGGAGGGGGAAGAATAGAGGGAGGGGCGGAATCCTAGAAGAAGAAATTTGAAAAGTACTGTGATTCAAACGAAGAAGAAGAAGTTGAGAAGACGAACCTGGGATGAGAGGAAGAGAGAGTGCCTGGAGAGGAAGAAAGAGCACCTGGAGAGCACTGGAGAGCGCCTGTAGAGGAAGAGATGGTGAGGAAGACTGCTCTTTCCAACCGAAGCCCGACTAATTTGTACCGTGCATTTGCACGGTATTACTAAGCAGGTAAGCATCGGGTAAAAAAGGTGGGCCCGGATTATTTAATCCGGTGCTTATTTAATCCAAACGGTCACCAAACACGGTACACCGTATTATTAGTCCTATCCGGTACCTTATACGATGTACCAAACAGGGCCATAAGATAATTGCCAATACTTACCTCATCCATATCCATATCTTCAAAATAAGTGCAGCAACCGCTGTGTGCATTAGAACAAGAAGCTAGTTGTGAAACATGAATACTTAAATTGTTTCTAAAACTGAATGCATACTAATTAATTAAAGTTGAAAAATAAGTTCGAAATTAAGATTAAAGAACATGTACAAATATAAGATGAAAATAAATTAATACTTTGGGGTACCTTGAATTTCTTTCCATAACCAATTTTGGGCGCACATTAAGGCTTCCAATGTCTTTGGATGAAGTCTACTACGGTGTGGACTTACAAATCTCCCATTTGTACTGAAAACTGATTCGGAAGCAATTGTAGACACAGGAATAGCTAATATATCCTTTGCCAAAGCACTTAAGATAGGATATTTAGTCCCATTTGATTTCCCCAACCCAAAATATCAAAATCAAACGTTCTAGGCAAAACAGCCTCATCCAAATAGTGATCTAATTCTGACTTTACATTATCAGTACTTATAGTACTAGAAACAAACAAGTCAAAGTTATCCATTAAAGGATTCATCTCTTCAAAGCAATGTATTAAAAGCGTGAGGCTTGGGCGAGGCGTCCGAGGGGAAGCCTGGCCTAGGCGTGAGGTGTGAGGCGAAGCCTCATGGAAACAAAAATTTAAATATATATTATATGTAAGTATATTTATAACAATGTTTTAAAGAACTCGCCTCGGGGCGCGCCTAGGGCGCCCTTGAGGCTGGGCGGAGAGGCAAACGCCTCAGTTTTGCTGGAGTAGGCGAAATGCTTCGCCGGAGACGCCGAGGCGGCGGAGGCGCGCCTCAAGGCGTCTGGACGCCTTGTCAGACCTGTTTTTTTTTTTTTTTTTTTTTTTTTTTTTTTTTTTTTTTAAAACCATCCAAACCCAGTCTTCTACCCTACCTTCGAATTCGATCCCATTTTTCTGCCTCTGCCTTTTGCCTTCTGCCTTGTTGCGTCTTCTTCTCCCGCGCGCCAGAGGCTTAGAACATCCGTCCAGTGGCCACGCCGCCACGCTGCCATCACCCCGCCGCCGTCACCTCAGCACCATCAGCCCAGCCTCAGCGCCGTCAGTAAGATCCCAAAGGTTAGGGTTTCTGAAATTAGGGATTTAGTTTTCTGGGGAAGGTTTTGCAACTTTTGCTATAGAGGGGTTAATAGTTTTCTGGGGATTTAGTTTTCTAGGGATTTAGTTTTCTGGTTCTGGGGAAGGTTTTGCATTTTCTGGGGAAGGATTTCTGCGAGAGAGTGACAGAGAGAGAGACAGAGAGAAAGAAGCCGAGTAGAAAACAGGGGAATAAGCCCACGGTTTTATTTGTCTGTTTTGCAATTATACCATAAACTGTTTTGCAATTATGATTATACCATAAATTGTTTTGCAATCATACCATAAACTGTTTTGCAATTATAATTTATACCATAAACTGTTTTGCAATTATGATTATACCATAAATTGTTTTGCAATTATACCATAAAATGTTTTGCAATTATGATTATACCATAAACTGTTTTGCAATTATAATTTATATCATAAACTGTTTTGCAATTATGATTATACCATAAACTGTTTTGAATGACTATGGATTTGAGTGAAATATTGAGAATGGATGTTTATTTTACATAGTATTATTTTTTATACAATTATATGTATAATATATAAAACATATATATATAAAAAAATTAAATCTTGTAAGGCTTCGCCTCACGCCTCACGCCTAGGCTAGGCTTCGCCTCGGATGCCTCGCCCACGCCTCACGCTTTTAATACATTGGCTATTACAGAGAACTTCAAGGAAAATAAGGATGAATGGTCACAATTATAGGAAAATTTCAAGCAAAATAAAGGCTTAATGTTGCAATTATAAGTAATTTAAAAGGAAATAAAGGCTGAGTGAAGTAGTTATAGGGTATTTAAAATGATATAAAGCAATAATTATGGGAGTTTGAGAAAAACAAAGGGTTGAGTGGAGTAATTATAGGGTATTTAAAATGAAATAAATGGGCTGGAGTATTTATAAGGTATTTAAAATGAAATAAATGACGAAAATAAAAAGTTGAGTGGAGTATTTATAGGGTATTTAAAGACAAAAATTAAAAAAAAAACTCAAACCTAAAAAACCCTAGCCGTTGTCTTCATCTCCATCTCCATCTCCTTCGCTAGTTTCTTGGTCTGCAACTCAAAAACAGCCCTACAGCTAAAAGAAATCCAGATTTCTGCAACCTAAAAAAGAAAAAGGGGCGCCCAGTTGACGGCCAGTTGACGCCTCAGGCGCCTAGACGTGCCTCGACGAGCCTAGGCGAGTATTTCGCCCACTCCCACAAAACAGAGGCGAAAATCGTGAAGCCCTGCCTCCAAGGGCGCCTAGAGCGCCCCGAGACGAGTTTTTTAAAACATTGCTTCAAAGTCAGATTGATTCAATTGAGATGAAGTGAATGATGGTTGATGACCCATGTTAGAGATATGATTAGATCCACACTCTTTTACCAAATCATAACAATATTTGCGAATCTTATCAATTTCATTCAAAGCATAAGATCAATCATTTTATCATTTGTAGTGCAACTATCTACGGTTAATGTAGAAAACTTACGATCGAGGTTCCGATCTAGCAAGCACTCCATCAAAACATCTGAAATTTTCTCGGCGGTATGTGGACAAGGCACATAAATAAATCTGAAAAAAGTTACAAAGAAGATGGTTACAATAAAGAATCTGAAATATAAATCTAAAGCTAGACAATAATTAAATAGAAATTAAAGTATTAAAAATATCACCTTATTATTTCAGCTCTGCAACGTCCAAGAGTCATCAATAAAATGTGCTGTTATTACCATAAATCCTCTGTTCTGATTACTTGCAGTCCACATATCAGTAGTTATGGCAATTCTACTCTTATTTTCATCAAACAATTGCATTGTTGTCGAACGCTCATAATCATATATTTTTAGGATATCACTCTTGATTGTGTTTCTTGAAACAACCTTAAACAACGGTTGGACAACACTCATGAAGTTTCTAAATCCAACCTGCTCAACCATGGAAGGAGAGTACTCATGCAATATTATCATTCGGGCGAGAGCTCTCCTTGCACTTTCTTGATCAAATGTATACAACTCTACTTTCCCATCTCCCACTTTTTGGGTTAGCGTTTGCTTCAATTTTTTTTTGTCTCCGACGTGGACATATCGTCACATGATGCCTTAAATGGCTGGTTCCATTTCCAGTGTTCCCACCAAGCTTCTTGTTACAATAATTACATATTGCTTTTATCACCCCATCAACTTCTTGTGTAATGTTGCCACACCAAACTGCGAAGTCTCGAATTATTACGTTCACAATGATCACCTCCAGGTTCCTCAATCTCACCAGCAACCTCATTTGGAGTTGGTATATCTTGGGGCTGAGCAATTTGATTTGGTATTTCTTGTTGCACAACACTTGGATTCAATGTAGGTGCTAGATTACAATCAGTTGGGGTTGATATTATTTCTTCTTGAGACTTAAATTTTCTTTTAGACATTTTGATTGCAGCGAACACAACCAAATCCATTAATATGTAAACCAAGACATGGTATAATACTGAAACTGAATCAATTAACATGTAAACTAAATATATAACAACAAACAAGAAGACAATTATTGATTTAATTTTTCATAATTCTATGGGCTCATAACATATGTAATAAACTAGAAAACTGATGCTAATTGAGAATTTGCATGAATCAAATAATATGAAAAAGAATGAAAGAGTACCTATTGAGCTGACAACATGCACCAATTTCTTGATAGTGAGACTCTTGAAGAGAGATGAATCTAATAAACTTGGAACATTTGATAATTGATATATCAAATGATTCAATGAATTAATTTGGTTGAGTATAACAATAAGAGTATTGAATTGATGAGGTTGTTGGTATGCCCCATGCATGATGTTTGGTGCATAATCAAGATAGTATAGGGTTTGATGCATGCATAATGAATTAGTATAGGGAGGGTTCGGTAAATTGAATAAAATTATATTATATACCAAATATATATATATATATATATATATATATATATATATATAATATTCAGGTCGGATTATGGGACGGATACGGATTTTTTTTTGAGAAGAAACTATAACAGTTTATTAAAAAAGAAAAGTGAAATACACAGAAGTGGATAAGAAATCCACCAAGAACAGAACAAGAAAAACTCTCCATAGGATCAGATTACAAGTAGGACAACCTCAACCAAAATCATTTTACTACTGCTAACATATCCCACAGTATGTGAGAAAGAGAGTAATTCTTAAATTCATTTGAAACTGAAGCCCAGAAGGCTGCCCAATATCTTACTCTTCCCCATAGATCTGCTACCCCCACACCAGTATAATCCTCAAAAATTCTTTTGTTACGCTCCAACCAAATGTTCCAAAAAACTGCCGACACCAGACAACCCCACAAAGCTTTAGCTTTCCTCCCAATTCCTAGAGCCTCAAAATTAGTGCTTAGAAGCTCGAAACAACCCTTTGGGATGACCCAGGGACGGATACGGATTAGGGATCCCTATAATCATATCCAAAACCATAACCGAATAAAGTTCACGGTTTTTCCCCATATCCATACCATACCGGAATTTTCATATCCAAATCCAATCCATTCGGGTGGTTATCCACGTTTATCGGGTTTAACGGTTAGAATTGCCATCCCCATCCCTCCAAGCCAAACGTAAAATAAAAAGTGAACACTCTTTTGTTTTATCTTCTCTTGTAAAACATACGTTTCTATTGCACATGAGCATCTTTCTACATTCCTCATTTCTTACTTTCCCCCCCCCCCCCCCCCCCCCCCCCCCCCCCCCCCCCCCCCCTCTCCTCTCTTTTCATTCTTTGGCTATGACACAGGCTTGCCTACTCGATGAGAAAAATGATGGCAGATAAGGCCTTGGTATGTCTTAATTGTTTTTTCAGTTTTATGGCTTTGCAGAACTTTAATTTTATATACTTTTGTTGGGGTTTAAGCATATGATGGAGCTCTAAATGTAGGTGCGGAGGCTGTCTGCATGTGAAACCATGGGCTCTGCAACTACTATATGCAGCGACAAGACTGGAACCTTAACATTGAACAAGGTGGGTGTAACTTACCCCACGATGGAGTTCTAAATGCACAGTTTCTTCTGTTGTTCAATATATGGCGACCGAGGTGTTGAGGTCTTATTGACCAGGCTAGTTTTGTTGATGTTATTTTGAGGGTTCAAATCAGCTAAAGTATGTCTCACTAAAAGAAAATTTAGTCAATTGGTGTGGCTGTTGTGAGATTAAAAATGGTGGTGGATGTGAGCAGAACAAATGTTATGGACATTTTTTTTTGTAATTGTGCATAGGACAGGGGAAGACACTGGTGGTTTGTGTCTCTCTTGCTCTGTCACTCTCTCTCTCTCTCTCTCTCTCTCTCTCTCTCACTCTTCTGTTCTCTAGCTTAAGATTGCTAATGAGTGATATTCTTTTTTACATTCCTCTTGAGTATAGATGACTGTTGTTGAGGCTATTACTGGTGGGGGGAAAATCGATCTCTCTGGCAGTAAGTCAGACGTGTCTCCAATGCTATCATCTTTGCTTATTGAAGGCATTGCATTGAATACAAATGGCAGTGTATATACGCCTGAGGTATGCTTAAAGTATTTGTGTTGCTTTCTTGGTACATTATTTTAGCAGAATAATGAGTGGTAAAGGCTGAGGCTCAGACTGTTTCTTCCCTTTTGTAGACTGGCGGTGATATAGAGGTTTCTGGATCACCAACTGAAAAGGCAATTCTGCAATTGGGAATCAAGGTTCTTTAGTTGGTTTTCCAATTCATGTATCTTGCCACTTCTCACGGGTGACTACATCCCTTAAACTTGCCACTAATTGTTGATAACTTCTTTGCAGCTCGGAATGAATTTTGATGCCATCAGGTCCAAGTCTTCAATTCTTCACGTGTTCCCATTCAACTCAGAGAAAAAACGGGGCGGTGCTGCTGTTAAATTGGTAGGCAACTTAAGAATCATACCTTGCCACACTAAGCTTTCTTGGTTATATGTGATATATTATGCGGCACTTTAAGATTGTATGTTTTGACTTTTGTTTTAGATTCATTGTTGTGTCTATTTGTTAACTTCGTGGATGCAAAAATTATTTCAGGAATCTGGATGATTTAATATTATATGTTCTCTTTTGTAAAATGTCTTCATATATCAGTCACAGTACACAGGGAAGAATATTAGTATTCTCATTGTGGATAACTTCTTTTGCATTCAAGGGATACTGCAAGTAATGGTTGATTGCCTTTTATCTATCTGTACAGCCCAATACTGAAGTTCATATTCACTGGAAAGGGGCTGCTGAAATAGTCTTGGCCTGTTGTACAAAGTACCTGGATCCTAATGACCAGTTGGTAGCTATGGATGAAGGCAAGGTAGGAGAAAATTTTGGCTTTTACATGATAAAATTATAGTTAACTTCTGCAGTTTCACCTTTAGTGAAACACTCGTATAGTACAGTCTCTATTTTTTCTTCCTATTATTTTAGTCACTTCTTTCCAGGTTGAGATGATTTTAACACCCCTTTAAGTTTTTATGATCTTGCAAGACAGAATAACCTTTTTTATAAGCTTGAACAAATTTGAAGTTGTACAATTATCCAGAATTATCATTTATATGAATCTTGTTCCTAAACTCATTTTCTTACTATTTTGTGTTCCTTTTATGTTTTCTTTGAACTTTGGAAGGTTATAACTAATGCTTCATTCGAATGAAATATGCCTTTTTCTGCAGTCAACCATGTTCAGGAAGTCAATTGAGGATATGGCTACCCGCAGTTTGCGTTGTGTTGCCATTGCTTATAGACCACATGAATTGGAAAATGTTCCAGGTGATGAACAACTATCTGAGTGGGTGTTGCCTGATGATGACCTTGTCTTGCTTGCTATTGTTGGTATAAAGGTAGTGCGTTCATAAATTCAGACATTGCATTACTAACTTTGATGAGGAGCATGTAACATTTAACATCCTCTGTTCTAAGCTGATATGTTGCTTCTTTTGCGGCACCTTCCATATTTGCATTCACTTGTAGTTTGTTTAGTTTATTTAGAGAATTAAAAAAATTGCAGGATCCTTGTCGGTCTGGGGTGGGAGATGCAGTGCGACTATGCCAAAAAGCTGGTGTTAAGGTATTATTTAGTAACATCAATGTGGATGGTATTCTGAATTTTTGTTCTTCATATAGAGGGGTGTTTATTTTCGGATTAAGAGTATTAGGCCGGAGAGAGCAGAAAGGGTTCAGTCCCCAACTCGTAGAAAGCCCATAGATTCTATGCTAATAAGTTTGGCTGTCAATTTGTATCAATTTCTTGTTTATTCTGCAACAATGGTAGATCAACTTCCCTCTTTGTTTGTCATAGGGGTGTCCTATTCATATTAATTCAGGGTGGTGCAATCCACACACCCCTTTTTACTTCCCAAACACCCCTTGGTAATTTATGTCCTTTGATCCTCCTCAATTCATTTGATCTGACGGTCGGAATTGAGAGGGGTGTGTGGAAGGTAAAAAGGGGTGCGGATGGTACCACCCTGAATTTATTGTATTGTTTTGTAGATTTTTTTTCAGCCTCCAATTGCTCCCTCATTTCCTTGCTCTTAAATTTTTTATCATTATTTTGAGTTTTATACACTTGGTCTAAATGCAGTTGTTTTTGCACTGGTGGTAAGGTCATTATGTGTCAATATATGTCCTTTTGTGATTATTTTTAGTTAGGTTTAGATACATGTCTATCTGTATTTTATTCGTACGGTAACTGTAAATCAGAAGAATCAATTTAGTTTATATAGAAATTTACTACTGTTTAAAATTTTGTTTTCATAAATTAATTTCTGGGTATCCTTTTAAATATTGTTCGTAGAAAGTGAACACGTGATGTTGTAGCTTAAGTTCTCCTTCCAATCTGATAATTTTGTAGGTACGCATGGTCACAGGTGACAATCTTCATACTGCGAAAGCGATTGCTATGGAATGTGGCATACTTGCTCCAGATTCAGATGCTACCCAGCCAACTCTCATTGAAGGAACAGCTTTCCGTGAACTTTCAGATAAGCAGAGAGAAGATTGTGCTGAAAAGATTTCGGTATGATCTGAGTAATTGAATATCTAATCGTATTTACTTTATGTTTCTGGTGACATGTTTTGATGATTGACGTATGAACACCAGCTTTGTGGAAAATAGATTCTTTTTTGTGTAATGTGCAGGTGATGGGGCGGTCTTCCCCCAATGACAAGCTTCTGCTTGTGCAAGCATTGAGGAGAAGGGGTCATGTTGTTGCTGTAACTGGAGATGGCACTAATGATGCTCCTGCACTGCACGAGGTCTCTCAAATGTTTCAACTTCAGTCTTTTTTTGTCTTTTTATTTTATTTTATTGTAGCAGCTATGTGTTTGAATCCCTGCACTGGTTTTGTAGTGTAGCGGACCATTTATTGTCCCTTTTAGCTTTAGTGTTAAATGAGTTTATGTTTTGATGGTTTTTTTTTTCTTTTTGTTTTTGTTTTTTTTTTTTTTTTTGGGAAATAATCAACATTCGAGTTCAGGCTGACATCGGTCTTGCAATGGGTATTCAAGGGACTGAAGTTGCCAAAGAGAGTTCAGATATCATTATCTTGGACGATAATTTTGCTTCAGTTGTGAAGGTTAGTAACTCTGAACATTTTGCAATTTTTCTTAGTAATATCATTGTGTATTGTGTTGTCGCACTCTGTTCTACCTTTAATAGACCATGTTGTCTAGTGCTTTAATTAATCAGTAACATACACACAAGCTCATTCTTCTATTTGGACTGTAAGTCTGTAACAAAAGTTCAGGTGCTTCATTCAGCAATTCCAACCAACAGATGATACATACTTTTAATTAATTTATTACTTTGTTCTCTCTGAGTTCTCACTTTTAATTTTTCTCGCATCGCCCTCACCCTTCAGTGAATAGGATAGCACTCAGTGTGCATATATGGTGTCCCAAATGTACAACTTACTTTTCCACTTTAGGCTTTTATACTTCGAAGTTTGCTTTTTGTTTAGCCATACAATTACAGAAAAATAGCATCGAATGCTTTGTCAAGAATATTGCTTCAATAAAACTGCTAGACGAAAATGGCAAACAACTGAGAGCATCAGTGACCTTTTCATCCTCAATAGCACAGCATCACTGAAACAAATTAATGACTGGAAAGGATGGGAATTCGAAAAAGATTGAGATTATATCCGATTAGACCCATCGAAGCAACATAATTTTATAGTGGTTTGTAGATGATATTAGAAAATCTCTGGTTTTCTGCCGAGGTAGAAATGGCATGGAAAGTCGTGAAATTGGCTTGACCATTCGGAGAACCATCCAAGAAATCATTCCTCTAATCTTCCAATCTGCTCTCTTTGCTTTGGGAACCATTTACCTATGGGGAGGGTTTGTTTTGCATTTTGAAATTGGTGGTCAGGCTGAGAGATGTCAATAGTTTTGGAGATGGCTGAGAGTTAATTCCTAGAGTGTGGATTTAAAAGAAAATATGTTGAGAGGATAGAGTAGGGGGAAGCAAAATGTATGAAAGAAGTGCATACAAAGTTTTGATTAAACAAAAAGAAAAAAGGCAGTTGTTTAGGGAGTGTCAGCATGGTGATAAACTGACCAGATTAACCATATGCCATTAACTGTGTTTACACGTCATGTCTGAGTTGTTGAATGTACTGTTAAAGTCTGGATTGGAGAATGGCCGTATGTGTATCTAAAATCTATTTTGGTCTGTTTTTTCATTATTATTTCAAGTGCCGATTCAGAAACCAAATTTGCAATATTTAGCAGTGTTTTTGTTCATCTAATGGTTGTAGGTTGTTAGATGGGGTCGATCTGTATATGCAAATATTCAGAAATTCATCCAATTCCAGCTTACAGTCAATGTAGCAGCACTAATTATAAATGTCGTGGCAGCCATTTCATCTGGTGATGTACCGCTAAATGCTGTTCAGGTTCTCACTCTCTCTACTCTCTTTATCTCTATCTCTATCTCTGTGTATATGCATATATCTCTCGTCCTCCATGTGTATACCTGTTGATGCCTCTTTTTCTTGTGCTTGATGCAGCTTCTGTGGGTGAATCTTATCATGGATACTCTTGGAGCACTAGCATTGGCTACGGAGCCACCTACAGACCACTTGATGGACAGACCCCCTGTTGGTCGAAGGTAATATTTTATGTGATGACAGCTTCCTTTTACAGAACAAAAACATAAAATCCCATTAGATCACCAAATACGCTATCTTAATCAATATGTTAGTCACCTAAATTTTAGGAAAATTTGGGAGCATTTTGTTTTAGTTGACAAAAAATTATCATCTCTTCCTTTATTTATTTATTTATTTCCTTTATTTATTTTGTCATGCTGTTTAGGATAAAGTTCTTGTTTATGTTGTGTTCCGGATCTCTACCCTCAAAGGTGATGCAAGGGAACAAGACTCGATATTTTCTATGACAAACTTAGTTACAGTATTTCCATATTTTGTGCCCAAATGTGTTTCAGTTAGGTTTCCTTTTTATCGATTACATCTAGTTTTCCAAGTCCTTATCAACATTTGACAATGCTTATCGTAGCCATATTATTTACATAACTTTAACAAGGAACTAACTTCTGAAATTGTACGGCATCAGTGGGATTGCGAGAGAAATTTCCAAATCCTTTTTACACTGTCTTGTGCACAGAATCCAAAAGTGTTGTGTTATTGTTTTGAATGTTCATGCCTTCTTCTTGGCCCATATGTATTGGATACTTCATGTCATTAAGCAGACTATTTGCTTTCCGGATGGTTATAGTAATGAACTTATGGTACAATGTTTTACAGAGAGCCGCTCATAACAAATATAATGTGGAGGAACTTGTTGGTTCAGGTACATGCGTTTCTTGATTTTTTTTGTAAATTGAAGTATTGGTGCTCTATAACATGTATTGTCATGCCATACTCTGCTTTTGTCGTTTATATTTTTGACATTATTGTCTGAACTTCAGGCTTTCTACCAAGTCACTGTCCTACTTGTCCTCAACTTCCGAGGAATAAGTATACTGAAGCTACATGGTTCCAATGCTAACACAGTGAAGAATACTCTGATATTCAATACATTTGTCCTATGTCAGGTAAGTCTACATTTGTTGTTTTCTCTGGTGCCCCTTGTCAAGTAAGTCTGACAAATCAACTTCTCACGTCAAGTTTTCCTATCAAGTTCTGTACTAAGTTGCTACTAAAGTTGATCTGTTGAAAATGATATGTAACTTGTTAGTTCAGATCTAGTGGAATATTGTTTGGATTTCTAGTGTTGTGACCAGCTGATATGAAGCTGCTAGAGTTTATTCATTTGTACTTTTAAACATGATTTATCAAAAGGACGTCTTTAATAAGTGTAACGTTCAACTTGCAACGTCTTTAATAAGTGTAATGTACAACTTGCAGATTTTCAATGAATTCAATGCTCGAAAGCCTGATGAGTTCAATATATTCAAGGGGATAACCAAGAACTACCTTTTTATAGGAATAGTGACAGTAACTCTTGTACTTCAGGTGATACTTTAGTGCTTTTGTTTTTCTCATGTGATTTTGGTGAAAGTTTGCATTTGTTTACACTTGGCTTTTCCCTCTTTTTTTTGGTCAGATTATCATAGTCGAGTTCCTTGGGAAGTTCACTAAAACAAAACCACTTACTTGGAATCTTTGGCTGATTTCAGCTGTAATAGCTTTTATCAGGTGAGTTGGTGAAGACACCGTTAAAGTTCAATTGATGTTACGATGATATTTATTATTTGTCCCAAACGAAGCTATATGATTATGGTGTGTTTTGTAGTATAAGTTAAACCCTCTGGAGTCTCTAGTTTTCCTTTGTTGGTTGACTCAACTCTCCTCTTCTGCAGTTGGCCTCTTGCTGTTCTCGGGAAGCTGATTCCGGTTCCAGAAACTCCTCTCTTCAAGTATTTTACAAGAATGATCCCTGGGCGAAGAAACAGTCCAGAGGTAAGAGTTCTTGTATATTTTAGCTTCGGGATTAAGATGTATTACTATATTCCGAGCCCGTGATTAATAGTCACCTGCACTTTCGTCTTTCAGGGTAGTCAGTAGGAAGTGTGAAGATATACTGCAGTTACAGCAGCGGGTTTCATAGTTTTCTGGATCTGCATCATTCTCTTTTTCGGTTTTTGGCTTGACAGATCATATTTCACAGAATCCACAAACTAATATTTTGTTAAGTTGGGTATGTACTTGCAGCGGTTCAGCTTTACAGAAGCCATACTCGGTTTGGTCTCCACTGACCGGAATTTTACGTGTGCAGTTTATGTACTTAAGGACTGATTTGGGGTTTTACAGTTCGACTTGTTTTTGGAATGATGGATTAGTCTATAAAAAAATAAAAATTTCAACCTAAACCCTAAGCAGTAAGATCAAAGGGAAACTGCCGAAATGATCGGTATTCAAATCCCAACTACCGAAATGATCAGTTTTTTAATATGCCGTCTGCATCTGATTATTATGTTGTCAATATTTGATTTAATTTTGAATAGTTCATCAATCGCGATTTGATTTCTGATGCCATCAGTAATAATGATATGCAAATCAAGAGTAGGCCGGAAGGCTCTCTTCCCAGCAACATTGTGGGAGAACAGGTCACATATGACAAGTACAAAGGCAGTGAACATATGTATACAGTCATTAATCTTTCAAATTCAGAATTACAATTAACAAAACCATAAGGAACATTTTGATTAAAGACCAATTTCCTTTGCGTCCATTAGAATCAAAGAAAAACTAATAAAAATGACTTGAAAACTTTGAGTTTTAATGATAAGGACAAAATAAAGGGTAAAATGAATAGTATCATGATTGATTTTTTAGTGAAAAAATGTGGTTTTCGTTAAAGTGAACAGTACTGAGAGCTTTTTGTTAAAGTACATGGCGTTGGTGAATCACACGATCGTAATCAGGAGGAAGCTGAAATGTCTATGTGAGTCTTTTCAGCTTTTGGAAACGTGGACTGTCATGGCAAAGCTACCAACTGGTTCCCTTATTTTAAAACAAAATATTTGAAAACCAAAACCTTAAGTCGTAATTATATCGGTGTGTATTTAGTTGTTACGTAATGATTCTAAGCAAAGAGTTAATGTACGCGTGACTGGACAATTCAACTAAAATAAACTGAGTTCTTCATTTGGTAATTATAAAAGTTGCTAGTTTTTATACAGATACCATGCAACATATTGTCCCAAACGTACAAGTTGATCATGTACATATCTTGATATATACCTTCAATGTACTAACTTGTAGGCATTGGTTTTTATGGTAATTCAAATATGCAGTGGGGTAAGAAGCTTCCATAGCAATGCCACAAAGACCTTCCTTTGCCTCAATACCTCTTTGCATTCTTATGTACCCTTCTTCACCCCATTCTGTGCCCCATGAATTCTTCACCAACCAATATTTGGTACCATCATCACTAACTCCATAACCAACAGCAGTAACACCATGATCAAGACTCGTTCCACAAGTTCCTGTAAAGACACCACTTGAATAGAATTGAAAGTCGGAACCGCCAGCGTCAATGGCAACAGAAATTGGTTGATTAGCAACGGCCTTCATTAGGGCATCTTCATGGTTTGCAGGCACATCTTCATGACCAGTTATCTTGGCTGCATGATTGGCCTCCTTCTTGGTGTTGCAAGTACCATCAACTCCAGTGTACGGGTAATTAGCCTCGGTACTAAGCCCATGGTTTTGATTGATGAACTGAAATGCTTCATCCATCAAACCACCCTGACAACCTTGGTCTACACCGCTTGTGTCACAATCAACCAGCTCTTGCTCAGACAAAGATATCAATTTACCAGTTGTGAGCTTTCTAATCCCTTCCATTGCTGCCACTGCTGAAAAAAGCCCAACAACATCCTGCATGTATATAATTGAAATTAAATATTGGGTTGTTTTTGCTTGATAAATTAAACCAGGTTTAGATTAATAGACGTTGATTTTTAATCTTGCAATTAAATCGTAATTTTTTTTAACAAACGATATTATCTACACAAAGGGGGTGGGGCTTCAAATAAAATTGATTACCACATTGGCCTTGGTCCTTGATGGGTGTAACGGCTCCTTTCTTTCTCCAATCTACAGTTGGTGGTGCGGTAACATTTTCATATTTGAAAGAAGTCTTTGCTGAACATTCGTGCCCCATGAATCCATTTCTTGAGGCTTTGAATTGTTCATTTGTAAGGTCTGCAAATTGATTGACGCTCAATTTGTAAAGTTTGTTTGCATCCTTATTGGAAGATTCAATAAATGCCACATTTTCCTTGAATATGTTGAAACGCTTCTCCTTCTCGTTAATGTCGGTATATACACGTCCATAACGAGCCATCCATTGCTCGTATTTCCCATACATTGATGCATCTTGGAGAGCACGAGAAGTGGCTTGAGAAGACAAGGCTCCCAACATGAAGATCAAAGCCAAACAAATACATTTGCAGTAGCACTGGTTAATGGACTCCATGGTGTATAGCTAGTAAGGGACGCAACTATAGTATTTGATGAAGTAAATGAATTCAAGCAACTAAGGTATACTGAAATGGCAGTCTCTTCACGGTTTACGTAGGTAAGAGAATAGTGTTGCGATCTCCGTGCCCCAAAAGTTGAGCTGCAATCTTCGTGCCCTATAAGATGTTCCGACATATCATATATATATACACACACACACATGCATGCCTGCGAGGTTTTGCATGTATTTTTATATTGTTTTTTTGTTTTAAGTCACAATAAATTACTAGCAATACATGTCCTTATTTGCATATATACTGGTTCATATAACCTTAAACTATGTGAATCAATACAAATATATAACTTTGTTTTATTTGCAAAATTCGTTAACTTGGAGAACTAGACTCAAATTTTGAATCTAATGTTCTAACGCAAATAACTTTGCTTAATTAGAATATAGGGTAAAGTACAAAAAAATACCTCAACTATTAGTGTCACGATATTTTCATACCTCATCTTTTAAAATTGACAATGTCATACCTCATCTTTAGAATTTATGCCAATGTTATACCTTCTGTTAGCTTGGCCGTTTATTTCTCAGTTAAATGCTGACGACTTAGCTTGGCCGGTTATTTCTCAGTTAAATACTGACGACGTGGCTTGATTCGGGGCCCACTTTCTATTAAAAAATGATTAAAAACTAAAGAAATTATTTAATATTTTTTTAAATATTAAAACAAAAGTTAAAAAGGAAAAAAAAAAAAAAAAAAAGCCCTCACTTCGTCCCTTCCCCACCCCACCACTCTCTCTCTCTCTCTTCTCCCCCATCTTCATCCTCCTGCTTAATCTTCAACAAAAAAAAAAAAAAAAAAAAGAACGCAACCCAGAAAGAAGAAGAACGGGAAGAAGGAAGGAAAAAAAAAAAAAAAAAACCCAAACCAAACGCAGTTTGTCTCCCCCTCCAAAGAAAGAAAGAAAAAAAAAAAAAAACCATTTGAAACTGAATTGCTACTTTATTCTTGTTATTGATAGAGTGGTAATCTCCGCCCCTGTCAAATAAAGAGGGATGGGTTCGAGAGGAGCAGCGACGGTAGTGTCGCGGCTGACACGAGCAAGCATAACGAGAACGAAATTGCGACTTTTCAAACATTTGTTTTAATGGTTTATCAGCATGATTTCCTTTAAATGATAATGAAGTTGGATTTCGTATAAGTTTGTATCAACTTTGCTCCTGAAGAAGCACACTCATGAAAACACGACATTAGTCATCACAACAAACAAATAGTACAGAATGAATCTATGAAGAGCTAAGATTTGCTCTGATACCAGATGTTGGAATTTTATTAGTTTAGCTTCACATAGATTACAATATTAACTAGAAGCAAAGTGTAAATCAAACCTGAAGAAGCCATTGTAACTGAGTTCGCAGAGGTAAATCTTCTACTCAATGGGGACCTTATGTTCTCACTAGAATAGGGCTAGTTTATTGAATAAGAATGTACATTTCCCCTTAAGCAGGGACTGAACCTTTATAGACGTGCAACCTCAACCATTTCCTTCTATCACGGAAACGATTTGATTAAATGCCACGTCCATTTGATTTCCAACGTGGGATATCCACTCTCTACCATGTTTATCCTTATTGTCCTACTTTAAAGGAAATAATATTTATTCATATATTAACTCTAACTGATTTCGGCTTCCTCTAAACTTAAACCCTGATGTGATAAGTTTAGAGTCCAATAGGGTTCCAACATATTTCAACAATTTATCAAATAAAATAAACCAAATACGTACGATAAAATACTTATCTTTTGTAGGTAGAGAATGCTCTTCATCAATCCTTGATTAGAACAAGATTTTAGGTTGAGGCGTGTAAATTCACTGTCCTTAAGAGTAGACTTCGCTCATTTAAGACAATGTCTATGTGTAGCAGGTTGTGGTGCCCTACTTTCCAGGATACAACAACCTATGATCCTTGCAAGTGTACATTCACAATACTTGGATCGAGTGAACAACTTGATTCTTCTATTGGTACAAAACAATTGAATGACATATCAACATTTGAAAGAATGAGGGATCCATAGACGAGAGAGGAGAGAATTGGAGGGAGAGTTTTTCTGAAAGTGGTTCAAATGAGAGAATCACTTGATCAACTCTTATGGAGTGGCTTATATTTTGGAAATATAAGGATAATGATTCACATCAAAATAATGACTAACAGTTGCAAAGGAAATAAGTGATATCAAATTAAGATGCCAATGAATGCACAAGCAAAATGGCTACTATAGCTATATATATATACATATATATATATATATACATATATATATACATATACATATATATACATATATATATATGTATATATATATATATATGGCTGTTATAGAAACGGTATAGATGCCAAACAATTAAATGATAATATTAGCAACCATAATTTAAGGAAATAAATCAACTTTGTATTTTGAAATACCATAAAAATTCCAACAATCCCCCCACATATCTCAAAATACAAATCGAATCACCAGAAGGGAACTTGAGAAACAAAAGTTTAAAGAGGACAAGGAAGTACTAACAGAAAGTGAGAATCCAACGCATCAGAACTGGTGTTTTTTTGGACTATGAACTAGCCTTAGGACAAACTAGTCGTAGCTCACAGAAATGTGGTGAAAATGAAATTTTCTATGAACCAAGATTTCTTTGTGTGAATCATAGGACTAACCACCCACAATGAATCCTCGGAATTGAGCTTGTTCAGGTTGGTGCGAATAAGCCATGCGCCCACCTAGATATTCATGAGTGCTCTAGAGAACCTGCCTAAGTTCTCATAGGAAGAGGCCCCACTCCCATACTCATATAGGTGAATCCATCAAGTGTGCACTATAGGTTGTGGTATTCA